TAAATCTAACATATCTGGTAAATCTATAAAGGAAAATTGTCAATTTCTGTATGGTGGTGTGCTAAAAATGACTGCAATTATGACATGTTCTCAAGGTATTATCTCTCCAATAATGCTGTGAATTTTGTACCTGAGAGACTAGTCCCTCTCATTGAACTGAAGAATGCTTACAACCAAATATAATGCATCAACATGTACATATACAAAAGTCATGTACATGTAATACAGGCAGCATCGCTGCTCAATTTGAAATGAGTTAAAATATCCCATATTTTAATGCTAATGTTTTTTTTTTTATTTCCACTAATTTGCAAATTCAAATTTCAGTGATGACCTTGCATAGCAAGTCTGTATATCAACTAAACAAAAAGAAGTGAGATTTATTAAACTGATAATTACATTGAGCATATATCCCTTATGACATTTAAATTGTATGAAGAGTACTATATAATCAGTGACATACTTTATACCAAAAACGGATATTTACAGTCCATATAAAAAAACCTTTGCTGGTAAACATAATACAAAGTGTGCCACAAGTTTTGATTGCTGGCAAAGCTTTGTCATTGAAATTAACCTTACATACCATAGCAGGTAGTTCAAGGTCTAACTTTCGAGTTTTACAGGATGAGTTTAAGCAATATATGGGAGGTAACTCTCACACTTGCTCGAAAGTGGAATCAGACACAGTAACTGTGTAACAACCAAAAGACATCAAAACAAACTAATCACATCATACTGTCAGACCATTAAATCAGTTTGAAGATAATCAGGAATATGCACATATTCTACATGGAGCACTGATACTAATTCCTTCTTGTCTGTCTTCAACTAGTAACAAGCCTGTATCTGGTATTAAAAACCCAATATGCACAACTTTCACTAGAAACCTTAAGAGAAAAATTGATCCACGTTTGTAATAGATATATTATAAAAATTAACTGATCTCAGAAACACTTAAGATAATATATCACTTTCGTATTGATATCAAAGCTGTTAAAATTCACTCTCTGTAAACAAGTATCCATTTACAGCCATTGCCAAACCAAAGTTGGAAAATCCTTCAGGTGTTTATGCGAGATGCTTCTATTTATCACAAACATGTATAATACACAGAAAGTCTTCAAATAACTATATTCCTGCATGCTATTTGTGATAACATCACAAAAAGTGTGACATGCACAGTAAACATTCCAATGTTGAGTATGTAAATTGGTTACTTGGTTTTTCTGTGGTGGCATTCGGAACTTTGTATAATATTTCATTGGTGTTTCCAGTGGAACAAATTTTAAAATTCTAACTTGTTTCAATATTCCCATCAATTTATTTTAGACAGATGCTTAACCTGAGGGTTATCTATCTTTCCACATTCATAAAGTGAAAGTTTTCCAAAAAACTTTCTGATTCATGTGAATTTATCAAATGATGCATATATAGGGGCTTTAAGCTCACCTGATATACATCATATTGTACATGATCCAACAAAATAAATTTAGATTTGTTGCTCTGTAATACTGTAAATCACTTGCATTTCAAGTGGGATTTATTTTTGCATTAATATACAAGGAGAGACAATTGCAACTTTAAATCCTTGGTGGTTGTTTGTACTCAATTAACTCTGGATGGCATTCATGTTAATTTCGTTACCAATATCAGAGTCTTGGAAGATTTCTGGTCTCTAATATGTCATTAACTGCAAATTTCAATCCATTTCTTGATCAGTATTTGTGAAATCATGTGTTTGTGAATATGTGTGACTAGATAGGATTTTACAGTAAGCCAACTCCCCTGGAGTCTTAGATGATATTCTGGTCCCTCAGGATAAAGAGAATACTACGGACTATTACATCATCAGTCTCCTTACCTCGCTGTTGAAAGTACTGCTACTAATGAGGCAGGTCAATAATAATTAAAATGATTCACATTTTACCTTTTTTAAAATAAATAAGATAATCAGTATTGCAGAGCCTAGTAGTACATATTGCACAAATAAATTAATCAACGAACAGTGACAATTACAGTGGGAAACGACCCATGCTAAACAATATAACTGAATATAAATATTTTTTAATGCTTTCTTCTGTTAAGCAGTTAAACTGATTAGTGATAAATTACAGTTAATTCCCCCACAATTATGAAAGTGACTTGTGACAAACTTCATATTCAATCAGATATTTCATGATAATGGTCATAGGCAATATTTTCTAGTATACACAGCATTAAATGTAACTCCTCCTTTCAAAAAGTAAACTTACATAAATTACAGAAGAATATCTTTTGAATGTTAAGTATATAATTAATATAATAGAGATATTAAAAACCTATATAGATGTAAGCTGTCTATCAACCTCTTGATTTCTGTAATATTCTTTAATTTGATTATTCTTTCCTGGACACAGCCAGTTGGTCAATTCTTACCTAAAACGTCAACAGGCTTTTATTGCAGTTGTGTCTCCAAGTCACATTATCTTCTACATATAGACATTTTACCCACAAATACGATGGATAGCAAATTATCTCCCTTAATCAGTGTGGACTGAGAAACAATCACCCTAAAACCCTAAAAAAAAATGTATGAGCCTGAAAAGAAACTCGAGAATAACCTTTCCGCATTCATTAAAGTATACACGCTAGATTCTGGTCATTCTTGTTTAGTTTTTTTGTTGGTTTTGTTCTGAACTTCATCTTTTATTTTGAAGTAAATGAACATGTATACATTGTACTTATATACAACTTGCCACAAACTTCAATTTTCATGTTTCTTAAGGACTTTACTTTACATGGTGTAAATCACCAGACTCAGTATTATCATGAGTATTTGGGTACTTTTAACACTGAAACAGTGACAATCTGTTACAAATATATTGGATTCATGGCAAAACAATTTTCAAATGGACAGGAATAATGACTAACAATTTGACCAAAAATGTCAAATACATCGTAAATCTTAACGGTTGTCTTTGGGATAAGATCTTAAATCACATGTCAAATGATCCCTATAATTCACAAAAACTCCTTCAATGTTGCCACTGACTTCCTGATAATATCATCAAATTAATGTTATAATATCAAATTTATTATTTGAACTTTTATATTCCTGTAGGTATTACTACATGAGATTAAAGTTTCTGTCCCGTTTAAAAATGCTAAAATAAAGGTACAATCATATCTATCAGATAATATGCTTACCATCAGTAATAAGCCTTATTCTTCTGATATAAGCCCGATTCTCATATATACTGCTGCCCAGTATAATTATACACCAGTTTCATTGTCCTGTGATAATCTGTTTCTGAAGTGTCCCCCACCCTAGGGTTACTGCAGAATCAATGATGTAGCTCCTCAAAACAACCAAAGAAACTGTAATACTGCTAAATCTTGTACCTGTAAAACTCATCACAGTTTGTAATGCTGAAGTATCTAGATTTTACCGAACACAGCGTGATATCAAAGTTGGATGGACATTTCTAGAAAGGTTCCACAATGCTAGGATTATACATAAATAACCTACCAATACTTGGTCTGACTGGCTAAAGCTTCGAGATGTGTTTATTTTTCATAAACAACTTGCCTCATAAAGCCTTAATTCAATACTTTAGATAATTTAATAGATAAGATCTGCAATGTTTAAATTCATCAGGAACACCTTTAAATCGTAACACAACAAAGCTTTTGTTAAATGATGGCTATTTTATAGTCACTTGAGATTTTGAAATTCTTCATTACTAAGAAGACACATTAACACTTGTGCATGAGACACATGCATATAAAACAAAATGTATTAATACTTATGTAATGTTATACCAGCTGAAAAGAATATGTGTTAATTTGAGAAACTCTGTCTGCACAAGGTTACAAATCCTAAAGGATAGAAGAATACTTCAGATCTACGTGAATGACTTCAACTGGATAATTTACCAGCATAGCTTGGTCAAAGGTCAGTTGTTATCCTAAAATAGATTTACTAATTTTTATTTTCCTATAAATTTAGCTATGTCTCAAACTATCAATTTTTATCATAATAAAATTAAATTAAATGAGAAAAATTCCTCCCAGACAATGTGTTTCTACCAATTTCTAATGATTGCACAATGATGATGATGGGTGAATTGAATATTTACCCCAGCCACAACACGTGCTGTAGATGAGAATATGAATAGTTAACATACATGTATATGGTTATAAACAAAGATATTTAACAATTTTACAGACTTTTACTCAGAATTACAGTAGCATTAAAAACTCTTCAATATAGCATACATTTCAATTATACATACATAGCCCTCTCTCTCTCATATCTCCAAACCATGCCACCTCGAATACACATGGTAAAGAGTTCATACATATATATAGTCATTGCACAGTGTATGTTGTGTACTGTTATGTCCTAATCAACAGCAACCAGTTGCATACCTTATAAAATTCTTCCTAATGTCCTTGTGTGTGGGTGATTTTTTGTCTCTCTCTCTCTTTAAATTCTTGAAGACAACAAACAACAATGAGAAAAAAAAAAAAAAAAAAAACATCAGTCAGCAGCTTATTTCTCCCACTTGTGGGTTTGTTTTGAAAAAAATATCTCTCCCTTTTTGATATAATTACTTTCAAGATATTATTTCTCTTCATTTTTTCAGACTAATACTTTCATTTCAAAACTCATTTTTGCTATTCTTAAATATTCTACGTTTTACTATGAGTATATCACAGGTAGTTATCCCACATAATTGTTTCCTATGAAAAATGAGAACCCATATACATTGCTGACGATCATATGTTGCTATTAAATAGTCTGTTTTGTCACAAATCTACAGAACTGTAGAGAGTAGATGTAATTTAAAACCATAGACAATTTGTAGTTGGTAAGATCCAGTTGACCTTGATTAGGACAAGAGCGGTACAATTTATCACAAAACAAATTATCCACACTATTCCGCAGGCAACAATCACATTTCAGCTGTAGTTGAACACGTTTTCGTGGATACCTTAACACATCTATAAAATTTGTCCACAGTCACTATAAATAATGCGGCGTTTCCTGACCGGTCAATAACCTGAATATGGAGGTGGGCATTGTCCTCATGTGGATCTGAAACATCAAATACACTTATTGATATCGGGGAAACTTTTACTATAATTGAAAATATATACATGTATTGTATCTTAAACTTTATACTTCATTTGACACTGTTCTAATAGCATCTCGTCTCAAAATCATAACACAAGAAAATTAAATAAGGTAAGGAGTTATCCTATTCAAAGTATAATTTACCTCTCCTACAGAGTTTGCCAAAAGGGAGACAATTTTTTCATGTGGTACTGCTACAACACTTTGATTGTTGATTTCTATGATTCTGTGTCCGACTCTCACACCCCCTCGCTCTGCTATCCCTCCACGCAGTAAACTGCAGATCTGTAATAAACATCACAAGAGCATAACTTAACATCAATTAATTCACTTTTATACACTGAAGTACATCACAGGAACACATGACGGTGTGGGGAAGGGAAATGTTTCTCCTAGGTTTCAAATGAACTTTGTAAACTTATTCAGCCAATTGAGCTGGTTATTAATCTATGTTGGTTACACTTTTTACATCTCATTAGCAGGCCATGTAACTAATTGAAATATCGTAACATTTTTATTGATTATTCCACTTACTGTCTACAAAAGCAGGATTTTTAGAATTATTCTTTCTGGCATCTAGCACTCCCTATATAATGTCTAAATTGACGTATATGGGAAGACTTTTTCTAAACTAGCGACAGATCATTACTTAAAGTTCACCTTGTAAGGCTGCCTGAAACCCTATAGCTGATCAACCTCTTAGTAAAACCTTAGTTGTATGGAAAGCATATAATGCAGTACACGAGATGACAACTATAATATGTTGTAGTAGACATGTGGCGTGTGCTTTCTAAATTTCATATTTTAACATAATCTTATAAATTTGTCTGATTGTGAGTCATAAAAATTTCATATGAAATGGAAACTCACTTGAGGTTATGTTCATCAAAAAAAATTCTCTATCAAAATTGTTCAAACATAATTTTTTTGATGAATAAGCTAATTTACCTAAATGTTTTTATGTCTCTTTTTAATTTTGGCATTCATAGACAATAGTAAGGAAAACCCCAAAATAATTTTTCATTAATTGAGATAAACTTGAATATTCTATGGATAAACATAAACCTTCAGAAAGTGAAGTGACATGTTATGAATCATTTTTACATATTAACTTCCTAACCTAAAAAAACATCAATAATTACTCCCCAACCTCCAACATTTACCTTTCACAATTTTCCTCTTAATCTTATACCATTTAGAGAAGACAGAAACCATAGAGATTCATGTTTTTTTTATAGATATGAACACTTGGAGAATTCAGAAACTGCCAGAAACTCTCCATAACTTGATAAGATGGTACTAACACAGTTTTATTGCCTTCACCAAATAGAACAACTCAATATGAGCAATTTTCATCATCATGATGGCCTTGAGCAGACAACAAAGGAATTGTTCACACAAAAAGTTGTCAAGAAAAAAGCTCAAGGCAACCGTTAATAGAAAATAACTTTGTTCTCAAAATACAAAGAGTTATTGCTTTTTGAAGAACAACGCAAGAAATTAGATTAACAGAAATTATAGTCCCATGTTAAAATTAATACATCAGAAAAAATTGGAAATTTCTGTATATGCAGAAGATGTGAAATGTGACATTTGACCCTTTGACCTTGACTGATGATCGCCTCAATATGATACGGTTTAGAATGTAATGATACTATGAGTGTAATTTAAATCTGTTGAGAGGTTCTCAAGATGACATTGATTTGGAATAGGACACAATGTGATAGGACTGGAGACAGAGATAGCATTATATGCTGCAATGATTTCTCCTACAAAACCTAGAACTGATCTCTCCACTTTTTGATACCTACCACTCCATTTTGGACGCTGAATCCCAGCTGATATTTCACATCTGGCCTCTTTATTAATACCTCCACCACTGGTGGACACGGTACAACAGTCAGCTTGACCACTGTCTGGTTTTTGGCACTCTGTAAGTATCAATTAAATACATTCTGTTGTATTAAATTATTACACAAATATTGTCTGTGTTGAACTTATTTCAAGCTCCTGGGGCCGTTATCTAGACAAATCAGTATTTGTACATAGAAGTAACACTGAATACAAAAACTAAAGAGAATATCACATTGTGGTGAGTTTACTTATTATATAAAATAACTCATAATTACCTTGATGTAGTTCTGACAGGCAGACAGGGGCAGACCTACAAGACTTATCCCATTGATAGATATAATCTGGTCCCCTATGTTGAGCTGCCCACACCGCGCCGCAGGTCCTGTCGGAGCCATGTTGGCTAGTACCACTGTGGGGACCATGGAGCCCCACCCTGACTCAACGATCACAATCCCCAACACTTCACTCTTCAGCTTTGGCACTATGACCTGTAACATTAGGTAAGATTGATAAGTCATACCAATCACAGTCATCACTATCACCTGTAACCAAAGATACAGTCATCACTACCACATGTAACCAAAGACACAGTCATCACTATCACCTGTAACCAAAGATACAGTCATCACTATCACCTGTAACCAAAGATACAGTCATCACTATCACCTGTAACCAAAGATACAGTCATCATTATCACCTGTAACCAAAGATACAGTCATCACTATCACCTGTAACCAAAGATACAGTCATCACTATCACCTGTAACCAAAGATACAGTCATCACTATCACCTGTAACCAAAGACACAGTCATCACTATCACCTGTAACCAAAGACACAGTCATCACTATCACCTGTAACCAAAGACACAGTCATCACTATCACCTGTAACCAAAGATACAGTCATCACTATCACCTGTAACCAAAGATACAGTCATCACTATCACCTGTAACCAAAGATACAGTCATCACTATCACCTGTAACCAAAGATAGTCATCACTATCACCTGTAACCAAAGATACAGTCCACCTGTAACCAAAGATACAGTCATCACTATCACCTGTAACCAAAGATACAGTCATCACTATCACCTGTAACCAAAGATACAGTCATCACTATCACCTGTAACCAAAGATACAGTCATCACTATCACCTGTAACCAAAGATACAGTCATCACTATCACCTGTAACCAAAGATACAGTCATCACTATCACCTGTAACCAAAGATACAGTCATCACTATCCACTATCACCTGTAACCAAAGATACAGTCATCACTATCACTGTCCACATCACTATCACCTGTAACCAAAGATACAGTCATACAGTCATCACTATCATCAATTGTAACCAAAGATACAGTCATCACTATCACCTGTAACCAAAGACACAGTCATCACTATCACCTGTAACCAAAGATACAGTCATCACTATCACCTGTAACCAAAGATACAGTCATCACTATCACCTGTAACCAAAGATACAGTCATCACTATCACCTGTAACCAAAGACACAGTCATCACTATCACCTGTAACCAAAGACACAGTCATCACTATCACCTGTAACCATAGATACAGTCATCACTATCACCTGTAACCAAAGATACAGTCATCACTATCACCTGTAACCAAAGATACAGTCATCACTATCACCTGTAACCAAAGATACAGTCAATCACTATCACCTGTAACCAAAGATACAGTCATCACTATCACCTGTAACCAAAGATACAGTCATCACTATCACCTGTAACCAAAGATACAGTCATCACTATCACCTGTAACCAAAGACACAGTCATCACTATCACCTGTAACCAAAGATACAGTCATCACTATCACCTGTAACCAAAGACACAGTCATCACTATCACCTGTAACCAAAGATACAGTCATCACTATCACCTGTAACCAAAGATACAGTCATCACTATCACCTGTAACCAAAGATACAGTCATCACTATCACCTGTAACCAAAGATACAGTCATCACTATCACCTGTAACCAAAGACACAGTCATCACTATCACCTGTAACCAAAGATACAGTCATCACTATCACCTGTAACCAAAGATACAGTCATCACTATCACCTGTAACCAAAGACACAGTAATCACTATCACCTGTAACCAAAGATACAGTCATCACTATCACCTGTAACCAAAGATACAGTCATCACTATCACCTGTAACCAAAGATACAGTCATCACTATCACCTGTAACCAAAGACACAGTCATCACTATCACCTGTAACCAAAGATACAGTCATCACTATCATTTGAAAACACAGAAAAGTTTGTGAATAGCATGAATTCAATACACCTGATAAAATCTTTGAAGTTAAATTTTGTACAATTTACCTAGTAACAACTGTTGTGTGGTTACTAATAAGTACATCCTCTTGCAGTGTAGGCTTCAAAGTTCATCAAAAACTATATCATAGTAAGAGACATACAGTGAGAGTTTGACTCTGACATGGGAGATACCTCAGAATGTAATTATCATAGTCCAGGCCATTAAACATTGTGGTAATATTACAGTGTGCTATTTAATGGCTTTTTTGATTGACTGTAATGAGACTTTGATCAATATGTTTAAATAGTTGTTATTTGTGATTCCTTAATCACAAATATCTGGGTTCTTTTTCTTTACATCGTGTGATATACATGTATATTGTCCTGTTTAAAATTGACCACAGAAAAAAGGGGAGGGGGTGTGTATCTGATTAGACGGGGTGTCTTTAGCAGGGAATATATTGTGTGAAATATTAGACATTGGAACAGTTCAGGTTTAACTATGGTGAACATGGAAGTGATGTGTATAAGGCTTCAAAAACAAGGAAACAGTGACATATCAACAGAACCTTAATTCAGACTCGAATTTGATCTAACTAGGGCAGAGTATGAACAAAAGAGAAACTTAAATGCAGACTAATGAAAAAATTACTCGAATTTGATCTAACTAGGGCAGAATATGAACAAAAGAGAGACTAAAATATAGACTAATGAAAAAAATACTTGAATTTGATCTAACTAGGGCAGAATATGAACAAAAGAGAGACTTAAAAACAGACTAATGAAAAAAATACAAGGACAATAAGACTAGGTCAAATTCTTTTCAGCAAAAGTCTGATAATGCTTAAAGGTAGTTTTTAACAGTAATTAATCTGTATTGTATGACAGTAATATTTGCCTAAGAAAACCTGTAATTTACTTTGGAACTGAATGTAGAATTCAAGACAGGAATCTACAAATTAATCTGAAAGCTGCTGTATTTGGATTTGAAACACAAAATATTGAACAATAGCATTGTTTTGAAGACATATATTACGGCATGAAAATCTAAAGTGGCTATTATCCTGCTCTACGGATGTAAATTGTAGTCGTTGTAGCTCACTACAGCCACAATATTGAATTGTTAGGAAGACATGTTGACGAATGATTACAGATATTTGGTGTGACACCTCTGAGCCGAGATGTAGCTGAGATTGTCTTTGTGTGGACAATACCACTAATCACACTGTCAATTTCTGTGTAATGTCCACTCCATATATCAAAGCAACATCCAAGGCATCATGTTAGCTTAAAATGGCAACAGTTATCAGAATATCAGAATATGATTTTGCTTAAAGAAAAGACATAAATAACAAATGAAGAAATAATATCATGTTTAAAGGAAGGACAAATAAAAAACCCTGTTTAAAGGAAGGACAAATAAAAAACCCTGTTTAAAGGAAGGACAAATAAAAAACCCTGTTTAAAGGAAGGACAAATAAAAAACCCTGTTTAAAGGAAGGACAAATAAAAAACCCTGTTTAAAGGAAGGACAAATAAATATTCCTGTTTAAAGGAAGGACAAATAAAAAACCCTGTTTAAAGGAAGGACAAATAAAAAACCCTGTTTAAAGGAAGGACAAATAAAAAACCCTGTTTAAAGGAAGGACAAATAAATATTCCTGTTTAAAGGAAGGACAAATAAAAAACCCTGTTTAAAGGAAGGACAAATAAATATTCCTGTTTAAAGGAAGGACAAATAAATAACCCTGTTTAAAGGAAGGACAAATAAATATTCCTGTTTAAAGGAAGGATAATTTAAAAACCCTGTTTAAAGGAAGGACAAATAAAAAATCCTGTTTAAAGGAAGGACAAATAAAAAATCCTGTTTAAAGGAAGGGCAAATAAATAACCCTGTTTAAAAAAGGACAAATATACATGAACAAAAAAGGAAATTTGTTAAAGGAAAATTAGGAGTCAATACAAATATAGATCATGAAATCAGTGTAACATCTCACGTTGGGCTAGAAAAGTTTTACCTAAGCTAATGGAGCTTAGGAGTGTAGAATCAGAAAACATCACAATCAGACAGTCTTGTCTAATAAATCTAAACAAACGTGTCTGTCCTGTGGTGTGACACAACCAAACAGACGCCCTGTCACACATCAGGACACGACAACCTAGATATCTGCGAGCAATTCTTTATTGATAGGAAGTCTACAATGTTAACTAAAATCTGACCTAGCAACTGATGGAGGATACGGCAGACACAAGTTGGAAAGTCCAGTTCTTCCTGGTCATTAATATGGCCGTCGTGATCATTATCACCTATTACTAAGAATCTATCTGTTTGATGGAACTTCCAGAAATTTTTGTTAGACATATTACATTGAGTCCAGGACACCAGTTCCAAAATTTTGATTATTCTCATTACTAAGAGACTAAGTGGGTTCTCAAAAATATGAGTGAGTCCTAAGGGAAAATCTGGAGTCCAGCACTCAAGTATCAGAGTGCCAAAAATTAGAACTTTAAGATGACTAAATGATACATCTGTATCAGTTTTACATTACAAATCATCCTAAGATCCTCATCTATAAGATATACTGAGGATTACAAATTTGAAAATTTATGTATTTGTAATGTCCACATTGAACACTAATTATCAATTTCAGGTCAATAGCTTTCTATCAGAAGAGAGTTTAATATCAGTAATTACAGTACTTAGAAATACATGGCACTTTTTCAAACTTTCTAAAATTATCAAACTTTAGTACATCTTTGATACATAATGAATAGTCTCACTAGAACACTTCATTCTGAAAAACAGAGAACTGTCTCTATGACGCCATGATGATGTTATTACACATTATTTTTTTGGTAATCTTGATATAGTATTCCATCACCTCTACAGAACAAACACCCTTATCACTTTATCAATCTTTGATGTACAGGATGACCTAGAGTTAGGGAACATAAATCATTGTTGTTAGTTTAACCTTGCTCATATTGTTTAAGTTTGTGACATTATTTCAATGTGTCGTAAAAATTGTCATAAAAACAGTGTAGACAGCGAAGACGTGACTAATGTATTTATCCAGCTTGCAGTGAAGAACTTACAACTGTAGCTATGTTCTGACCCTTTCATGGTTATTGTTGAATATTTTCTGTCGTTTGTTGATCTTGTTTGAAATGTCAGCTTCAATTTTCACCAATTTTTTGTAACTCGCAAATCAACATATAGAGATTGAAGTACTCCATTGTCAAAGGAGATGGCTTGGTACACATTTTGGGATCTGTCACTAATACATGCCCCAGTGATGACAGAATCTTTTTCCTTACCCTTTTTTAATAAGTCATTTGAGAAAAAAATATTTGCAATGACTTTTAAAAGTACCACACCTTAATATTAAAATCAGAAACATAATTATGGAGAGTTACTTAACCCATGAATTTGATCCATTTTCAGCTCACACAATGGGAGAAATGTTTATGTAGTCACTCTGGTGTTGGCATTGCCAGTCAGGTTAAATATCTGCTGCATGTATTGAAATGTTCCAGTAAATAACTTAATATGTGTGCCAGGAGTTTGGAGATCTGCAAATCATTTAGCAAAGAGAAAGGGGAATATTGATTAACAGGAATTTTGATGTTTTCTCAGTTTAAGTTTTGCAGCTAGAAACTAAATATTCAAATGTATAAAGAAATATGTGTACTATTATGTTGAAATTTAGCTTGATGGTAATTTCAGTTGCTATGTTTTATAAGAAAGAATGAAATAAGGATTTTTTTCTTCAAAAATTGAATTCTTGGCATGTTTCTGAATGCTGCAAAAATTCCAGTACACATATTTAATATCTGGTTAGATTTGGGCTGCGATATTAATTTATCAGAAAGAACTAAGGATTTTTTTGGCAATTGAATTCTGGCAAATTTTTGGATGTAATCTTTCGCTCAGTTTGCTGAAAGCATTGAGAAATGTACCAGTTCATTTTTACAGAAATCCTAACATTATACATGCCATCCTAATCCCCCTCTCCCTATTTGTTTTCTGAAGAATTTCTTATCCCAGTTTCTCTTTTTTTTTTTTTTTTTTTAAACTTTTATTTTTCAAGGGATGTCATAAATCACTATAGTTGATATATATATATTGATAAGTGTGCAACTTTGAATATTAATTGGTTTTTACTAAATTGAAATATAATTGTCATCAACAGACAAGTTAAGCTGCTCTCAACAGCTCTTGTTTATTTTCCCCCTTTGTATTCATGTCATGAGACATGAACCATATTGAACAGATAAGAGCCTTTTACCTTTACTGGTGTTAATCTGTATTTCAGAGAGATGAGGTTTTTCTTTGATTTTGGTATTGTATTATAAAACATCAATGTATGTGGGAGGGCAGTCAGAAATAAGAGGTACAATCATTCTATTGATCATCCCTAAATATCCCTTCTATAGATCCATCGTAGAAAACATGTAATTTTCATAACGAAAATCACAAAAAATATATCGAGGATTTTAAATATATTACATAACAGCTCTGTGAAACCAAGGGAGCACATTAATTTAGAGATGCGTTTTTCAGTAGCTTTTTTCTTCTTGTTCAGCATCCAAACATAGTTTTCTTCACATATACCAGATTGCCAACGGCAGCTAAAGCAATATGTTTACATGCCAAATATTTCCATCTGCATTTTGAAAAAGAGAGAAGTTGAATCAATCAAGTCACCCTCTGCCTGTAGTATAACAGATTCCCTAACTAGATGAGTCAGTTCAGGTTTTTTCTCCCTCTACATCCAACACCAATTCCATCAATTTGCTGACTAGCTCTGGCAAGGTTTTCAGTGAACATTGCTGATTTGCCAAAATGAAATTGAAATTGGTGTAATTTGATAAAGTCTTGTGGAGAAGTGAACGTTGACAAACGCTAAAGAGAAATGTGTTGGCTATATTTGACTCTAGATATATCACAGCAGCTAGCGATTGTCACAGACAATGGATGGTATCAGTAGTGTATTGTCTAGGATAGCTCTAAAAAACACAATAAAACTGCAAAAATATTTGAGAAAACATTCAACTCCAAGCAAGCATTTAATCAATTTATAAACATCTACCCCAGATTTCACTATGACTAAGAAAGTGAGAGAAAAGGACCGGAAAAAAACAAGGGAGGGCAGGACAGGGGGTAAGGGAAGGACAGGCAGGGGTCTAGGATTCATTTGCTCGAGTTTTCATAGGTTAATGTGTCTAGTGGTGAAAAATGATCGAATAATAAGACAATTAATAGTTCCATTTGGTGGTGGAAACAGGCAGATATCAGCTTTATAGAATCAGATTGTCTGGTAATGTGTCTCATCCCCGGATTTACTTCTGTCAAGCATCATCAGTTCTGAATGTGCTGATTATAAATTTGTTAATGTTATGAATGAGTCATTAATTTATTGCTTCAGAATTTGTTAACAGGTTTTATATTACAAATCATAAGATTTCCCCTGGTACCCCTAGAGCATAGCTTAATCACCTCAAAAATGTAAACAAAACACTTCGTGAATTTTGAACCAAAATGTTTAAACACAATCTTATAAGGATATTTAGGAATCTTAAAAGTGTAATATTCGAAAAGAACTAGATATGTCAGTACCACCTGAATGCCCCTGTGGGCACAAAATTAAAAATGTGAACTGTTTCAAATTTTCCAAAAGTCCAAGGGGCATAACTCTATCAAATATCATCCAACCCAAAGAACTTGATCTGCATTTTCCCATAATACATGTATATACCAAATCTCAATTAAAAATGTCTGACTGAGATAATGTGCAGAAGCTATAAATTATTTGAAATTTTCTTAGTACATGGGGCATAACTCTTTCAAAAATAAATTCAACCTATAGTGAATAATCTTGAAATCAGTGTAAATTCAAACTTGATGGAAATTTTCAATAGTGACATTAAAAAAATACATTTAATTTTAGAAAACCCTTTATAAGTTCATGCAATGAAACCTGATTTTCAAGGATTACAAAGAGGAACTTAACTATGTTAAATTTTATCAGAGTACACATTGTATATGGAAAACATAGGTGAGAAGAGTTTGATTGTGAGAAAATTTGCTGCTCTGCAAGAAACTATACACACGTTTTCACATATTTCTCCACAAAAATTTTCATCTCATTTTTTGTGTGTGTTCAATATGGATTTTTTTCCAGGTATTTTTATACCAGGAAAGTGCAGGGAAACACCACTGACAGTACAAAAAAAAACTAATACACTATGGAATGGTATGTAAAGTATATAGAGACACTATGGAATGGTCTGTAAAGTATATAGAGAAGACATTAATTTCAGGGCTTAGTCTATTTTACAGAATACTTGGTCCAATGTTGATCCACTGATAAGATTTGGTAATTTTACTTGTGGGTATAATCTCGTAAACTTTGTCTTAATAATTCATGGGAGGATATATTAATGTCTGTGTTTGTATCTCCTTACACAACATCTGGTCTGTGATTAGATACAAAGTTTGACACGTCCTTTCAAAAGACATGCAAAATATTATTTGATTTTATTGAGTAATGCTAAAGTTGTTGTGAGGAAATAAAATCCAGATGGACGGAGAGACGAACAGGAGGGACAAGGGTAACACTATATATCCTCTGCCATCCTCCTCCTCCCTTTTCCAAAATGAAAAAATTGACATGAACCAGTTTTTGATATATTCTAACCTCTTTATGTTTTTCCTTATTTGAGAACAGATTCAGCTCTTCTCCATAGATTTCCTGTTGATTGAGGACATCCTGATAGTCAATCTCCTTCATAAGTCCAGTGTCTTCTATGCCATTAGCCTTCAGGAATTCCATATAGGCCACCTGGAAAGCTTGGCCTATGGACTGGGCTATCAGCTGGGCCTGAAATGTACAACACATTTTTGGATTACAGTAAGTTGATCAAAATAAATGTTACATCAAGGTCTACAGGAAAGTCTGAGAACAGTATAATCAAGGTTAGTTCATTGATTTATAAGTCAAGGTGACAGGAGGTCATTGAAGTTCACAGATATATTGACTATCACACTAAAATCACTACCTTTTGGGATAACAAAGGGTAAGACACTTGATAAATCAACAACAGAAACACTATGGTACAAATGTATGTTAAAGAAAAAAAATTAGTTGATATTATGGAATTGCAAAAGGATTCAAATCTATAGGGACAACATTTTTCATTGATTTCAAAGACCTGGTTATTTCATTAAAATGTGAATATCCACAAAGTTAGGATTAACTAAGAAGACATTTTCCTATTTGTTAGTTTAGCATTCCATGTCAAAAATCACAATAAAAGGTCAGAGGTCAAACATTTCAAAGATCAGAAATCGCAACCAATATGCCAGCGGCCAAAGTCAAATGTTACCCATGGCAGTCAAAGGTATTTTGTGGCCAAAGTTCCTTGACATAACATGAAAGAATATCAACAGCCCCAAAAGAAAAAAAAAAGATGAGATGATTAGTTTCAGAAGAAGATTGGATCCATTCCAGTGGGACTAGTCATTAAACATCATGGCAGCAACTTTTCTATGACTAGAATCCTGTTTAATTTAGTTTCTAATTGCCTTTGACAAGCTGAAGAAAATTAATTAAGAATGACACACTAGGAAAATCATATGTCTGTCAAATATTAAACCCAAGTGTTCAAATAACCAGGAACCTACAAGCATTAAAATGAAACTTTTCTGACAACTGTTCAAGTTTATCTGTGATTTTGGTTATGTAGAATTTTGAATTCATTCCAAACTACATTAAATATTTATTGTTTTCTTTCTGTTTCAGACATTTCACAGATATCAGTTAGTGCAAATATGAATGAGCTGTGATTACCATCATCAGATATTTTCCTCCTGTTTTATTTTTGGAAATCTGTTAACTTGACACAAGAGAGACAATTGAAAATTCTTAAAATAAAAAGTGGCCCTGAAACATGGCTACTTGGGTGGGTACAGGTAAATAAGCTTCTTAATGTAATAAAATTATCCAACCACAAAGCACTTTATGTATTGGCCGTGTTAAAGATTTTGTTATCATTATTCTTTGTGACATCAAAAATGGTTATGACAGGGTATCATTGTGCTGGATCTCAGCTTCAACAAGTGATAGTGAATCTAAGTATAACTGAAATTTCCCTCTTATTGCTTTGGTTTGAACAAGACACTTTAACAAGTCTCAAATTTGTTGCTATACACTTGCTTGGATAGGCTTAGTCACCATTTCCATACTGCAAGGATTGCCTGGCTATCGGATCTGAGCCAAATTAATACCGACACCCTCCCTGATGAATTGAGCCTAGTCTACGCTTATTGAATCTGTAGACAAATGGCTGTACCAGCGAGACTGCCGCGTGACAAACTTCTTTGTTCCACAATCCTTTGTACTCAATGCCACATCAATATGATGCACCTTGCCAATCTCTCCAGGTACGTATACCAGTGTTAATTACTGGACATGATCTATCAAAAGTAAGGGTTCACTAGGTCAGTCACATTTCTGGATTAGAAATCCCAAGATACAGTCAGTCTTTAATGTTGTGATATTGAAATTCTGAAGGGAATTTGATATATCAATAATTATGTGTACAATAATTCTGACTTGTACCTATGTATGACTCAGTTGTATATGTATACAACAGCAGGGTTGAAAACCTGTAGAATATTGTACAGCATTGATATGAATACATCTGTCTACAAAATTTACACAGGAGTGAACAAAATCTACTTTTATTTTAAAGACTACAGAATCTTGTTATGTTAGAAATGGTGTAGAATTTACACAGGAGTGAACAAAATCTTGTTCTGTTTGACATGGTGTAGAATTTACACAGGAGTGAACAAAATCTTGTTCTGTTTGACATGGTGTAGAATTCACACTAGAGTGAACAAAATCTTGTTCTGTTTGACATGGTGTAGAATTCACACTAGAGTGAACAAAATCTTGTTCTGTTTGACATGGTGTAGAATTCACACTAGAGTGAACAAAATCTTGTTATGTTTGACATGGTGTAGAATTTACACTAGAGTGAACAAAATCTTGTTCTGTTTGACATGGTATAGAATTCACACTAGAGTGAACAAAATCTTGTTCTGTTTGACATGGTGTAGAATTCACACAAGAGTGAACAAAATCTTGTTCTGTTTGACATGGTGTAGAATTCACACAAGAGTGAACAAAATCTTGTTCTGTTTGACATGGTGTAGAATTCACACAAGAGTGAACAAAATCTTGTTCTGTTTGACATGGTGTAGAATTCACACTAGAGTGAACAAAATCTTGTTCTGTTTGACATGGTATAGAATTTACACAAGAGTGAACAAAATCTACTTTTACTTGAAAGACTACAGAAGTTTCACAAGAGTGAACTAAATCTAATTCTGTTTGAATCCAACAGACTCCACAATGTCTTCTGTCTGAAGCTCTATCTGACTGCCCTAATATATAATGACACCTGGAAAGGTTAAATCTTAGAGCTTTTAAAAAACAAGCTGTGAGTCCCACCATGAAATTTCAATAACAAGATCAACCTTCATAATTAACAAGATTATTTCCTCATAACGATCAATATCAACAGAGTTAAGGAAATGTTCCGGTAGAACGATTCTGCAATTTTATCGTTGACCAATTGCCACAAACTTTTCTAAATAATACTATTGATTTCCCAATCATCAAAAGTAACTCAATACTTGCAGATTTGAAACACCATTTCCTGTCAGCACGTTGGTGAAAGGCAATGCTGTGTATGAAGAATGGTCCAGGTCTGAAGCTCTGTAGGACAGAGACACTGACATACTTAGATTTTGAGTCCCATTTACATAAAGAGGCCATATTCATGTAACATGCAGCAACACTTGTGTCTAGCAAATTAAACTACACTTTGTCAAGAACTACAAATACATATCATCTGAAACATTATCTGCATGATTTTGCATCAGAGTTAAAGGCATATGCTACCTTACCTAGTATGTGATTTTTATTAGTAATAATCTCCCTTTTAATGAGTGTTAATTACTGTGTTTTATAAACTACTGTATACATTAAGTAACCATACAAAAGTACAAACCCAATGATCTTTGAAAAGGTAAAAGATACCAGGCACTATTCAGTAGCAATCCTTTGAGTTCTCTTGTACCAATATATCAACCTCAGGACAAACTTTCTATAAAGTATGTTTAAGTAGGTCAAAAACTGGGTTTACCAAGTGTAATATCACAGAACATGAAAACCAATGTTACAGTAACAGACAGTTTCAAATAACTGGTATTCTATTAAGGATGCAAAACATCTGAACTATTCAAAGACATGGCAATATAAAAACACTAGGTCATCAACTTCTAACTTTCCTCTCAATGAATTCATTCAAAAATAAATTAAGATGCTGCTGAAAGATGTTTCCATCAGGATTTCAAGTCTTCTTATCCAGCCTTGTAGTTTAATCAATATTTGTGTACATTTCTCCAGAGGTGAGAGAATAAAGACAGTCAAGTGATAACGATGTTTCCATACCAATGACACCGAACCCTATAATCTTTTTAAGTAACAACCTGATCAACTCTTATCAATCAAATAGTAGCATGACCACACCAAACTAAAACAGGTCTAGTGTATGTAATCTAGATCAGATTAAAGCTTTAATCAAACAGAGGCGTAGGTTCAGTCAATGGTATCTTAAAGCCTTCATTAGAACTAGCTATGTTAGAATACAATCGGATGCCCCAAGGTCTACTCTTTCGTATTAAAGTTAAATCGCTTCAAGCATAAATCAATATTCCCCTGAATGTAAAGTAACGGAAGAACCAACTGCTGATTCAGTCAAATAGTTGAATAGAATAAAAATCAAGTTAGCAGGGACAAGACCCCAAATCCCTGGTCTTTTTATTTTAAAACTAGCAAAGTGTGGCCTTTGACCCCTTAACCTGGACCATATGACAACCAAAGTCTCATCAGGTGTAGAACTTGAGTATGATGGCAGAGTATAGGCAAATTGCCACATATCATGCACCTTAAAATATGACAGATTATCAAGTCATATCGAGGTTTTTACTCGAAGATGCTATCTATAAACCCAGGCAATGACTTGGCTTTCTCTGCATGCTTGATACTAGATATTGATATACCATGCTTTTGATTTCTATGTGCAATCAAAGTAACTGTTAAGGTTTACAAGGAAAATTCTCATATTTAGGAGCCATTCAGTTGATTTTCAATACCAGTACACTGTTTAATGCTTTTCATTTCAACTCATTGACAATCCATTCATTTTGATTAGTATTACACATATAATAAAAACTTACAGAATTACTTTGAAGATTAACTTGTATGTTATGAAATATTCTTACTAAAAGCACTGCAACACAAGATCATCACGTGAGATTCATAGCAACATTTCTAAATACCGTTAATTTCAAAAATTATATACAAATTCAAAATTATAAGTAAACTCAATGTAAAGACCATAACTTGAAGGACATCTATGTTTGGAGGCAAATTGTATGAAGTATTTTGCTATCAGTGGCATGGTAATATCATATTTTAATTGCTAGTTGCTAAATCGCTGAGTAACACAAGAAGCATTGAGATAAGGAAAGCACTCCCTGATTTAAAGCATATTATCTGCACAAACAAGGGAATTACGACAAGCCAATATTCCATCAACCTCATGTGAAATTTATTGATGGGATCAGATTCATGGTAGGGGATTATGCTGAATATCAGGGTGAAAGATTTATTCTTTTTTTGTTTTACTTTTATCTCTATTTAAACCTTCCTGCTTAACATGTCTGTAAAGTTTTAAGCTATGTATGTGGAAAGAGATATTTTTCATTGAATTGTAATAATTTTCAAGATAGATTTGAACATTCAAA